AAATAATATGGGGGCATTATCAAGTTACAGTGGCCCGCGCATTCCTGATAACATGCGGGCGTTTTAATGATAATTCTATCCATATTAGCTATAAGATGTTATAGTGACAATAGAGGGAGAAGTAAAACGTAGTCCTCGGCGACAGCCAACGTTATGCTTTTGACGTCATAAAGCATATGACGTCATAGCTAGTGATAATAGTGGGAGGCATGAATACATTATGGTGTGAGTGCACAAATACACACTTAGCTACATGGGGAAGTTTTGAAAATTATACTTTTGAATTAAGTTTAGGTTTCAAAAGCCTAATGAACATCTGTTCTTTTTCCATTCGTAAATGTTTGTCATTATTAAACAATTTATAAAACGGAAAGACAGTAAAATGACCACTCCCGCATTCATCAATGTGTTTGCTTACATTTATACAACGTACATTTGGATATCGAATTTGTTGTCTGTGTACAGTGATTCGGTCTTTCAGTTGCATACCAGTTTCTCCAATATAATGCTCATCACATCCCGCACATGTTAAAACATATATAACATCTTACTGCCACAGTTCATGTTGTTTTTAACAGTAAATAGTTTATCTTGGCAAAATTGAAATTTGCAGTCTTCAATTATTATTGGGCAAGTTCAACATCGAGGTGTGTTACACTTTGTTACACTGACGGTCTTTGTATTTTGTGAGTATTTGGATGGACAAAGAATTTGTTTAAGATTTAAGATTTGTAGTTGTTTATTTATAACTATATTTCCGAGTGGCAGCAATTTGATTGAGGTGCCCGTACAACATCGAGCTTGGAAGTGACCTACAGACAGCTACAGTTTCGAGTTACCTCCCTTACTTGTAGTTAAGGCAACAAACACGTACTGTTGTGTGAGTGGCGGTTACTACCGGTACATCAGGACATGCTTACCTTTTAGGCGAACACTTGGTGTCATCACTGATATTCAGTTATCCAGTAAAATAATATTCACCACTATTTTTCCTTTTACTCCCTTAGAAATATTTCTTCGGCAGATAGTCAAGACTGGTTATTTTCTGGCGTTGACGCTTTGAAACCACCCAGAACCCATACAGTTGATTTAGCGGCTTGCATTGGTGTAAATAGCAGTGGGAGAATTATTAATTTTTAAGATATTCAGAGGAAATGTAAGAGAACATGAAAGCAGAGATAGAGATGGTAAAAGACAGGTAAGTAGTATGACGAGAAAGAGAATAGTAGACAAATATACAGAGAATACTGGAAATGATAGTGATAGATAGAGAAGGCGAACAATGGTTACAACACATATTCGTTCTCATTTTCTTTGTTAATTCTAGATCGCGATATCTATGAATTTGCTACACAGACCATTCTCTCGAGTGAAACAGCGACGTAAAGCAACACTAGCTGACTTTCTTAATCACTTTCCCTTCAGGGCGACACTCAGTGAGTGAGTGAGAGTTAAAATTTACATGCAACGGCAATATTGCAGCAATATCGCGATGAGAACAAGTTAGCTATGGTTAAATACCTGTCGACAAAGGACACTAGAACAGTAAGGTAAATATCACAGATTAGGTATAAAATTCGTCAATAGGTTGATTAGATATGTTAAAACTAGGCTATAGACCACAAGCATTCAAAGCTAGACCACCTCACTGAGGATGATGGGGACTTACGGTGCTTCTGTTTCCTGCGTGATTCTCCAGCAGGATGTATGCCATCACCTTGGACGCCAGTGGTTATTTGGAATGCTAACCAATATCAACAAACTATTATCAAGGAATTAAAACACTTATCTATGTTATATACTTCAAATAAGATGGACTCTGCCACTGTCAGGGGGACACGGGGACAATATTTTTACACTACTTTAACCGCCTTCAATAATCTCAGTTGGTGATAACATCACACTTATTTAAGAAAGAATGCAAGCATTCGAAATTTATCAAACAATTTTATTTCTTTAAAAAAATCGAGAATTAAACAAGCATTGATAGTATTTGATAGATCCTTTAAAGACATTGAATGATAATAATTATCCCTTGTGAGAGAACATTCAACACGGTCAAGCAAAACATACTTGAATGTGATTCTCTCATCACAAGGGACACAAAACGGAGCATCCTCACCTTTCAACAAATATACTCTTTAAAAACCGCAATACGGATATTTTTGGCCATAAAGGCAAAATTATCAGACCAAGAGGTGAAGGGGTTTAATGTGTTGTAGTGTCAGTGAAAGATTTCTCGGATCAAAACGATCACAACAAGGACATGCAAACCATTCGTCGGGAAACACGTACAATTCGGAAAAAAACGCACCAGGTGCATTAACAAAAGGGCCACGGAGCTGCACGTACAGCAGCACTATGAACGGTATAAGTGCAGGGTTTTTTTATTGCCTGGCATCTGCGTCAATCGAACAGTGACAGTTCGACAACCTTCACTACAGACCTTTAATGTCAAAACACACAAACTTTTCAATGACAATAACATTTTCCAGGATTATGTGTTCTCTTAACACCATCGCAAAAGATGATGTAGAAGCCAGTGGTCGTATAAATAAGATGGATCTGACTGATCTAAAAGGAGACATCAACAAGTACATATCATAAAATGTGTGTCAACATTTTTCGTCAGGATATCAAAAATTGCTGTCCTTGTTACTACCTCCCATTTCAGCTTAAGGTCCTCCTTTGGTCAAAAGTTTGTTCCCTCTTTAAATGAGTGTGTCACACGTTGCACACGAGTGGCGAACGGGATGCACACGGGTTGCCTCATGCGTTCAGAATGCGTGTAAGGGAAATGAACTTCCAAGCAGTAGTGTACCAACACGCGACGTGTCAACTCGGCGGTTCTGTAGCAATGAACGCGTATCTAAATCCACCACTGTACTACTATTGGCAAGTCACAGTGGCTATACTGGACCCTAGTGAAATGGTTCATGCCTTTAAGTCCAGCAACTGAACACTAATTAAGATGGGCCGAAATTGTGTTTATGGTCTGGTGAACACAGGTCAGTGGCCGTTCATTAACTCAAGATTCACATCTCATTGTTCTGTTTAATTTCACTGTTCCATTTGATCCATTTGTCAAATCCAACTGAAACGGGTTATACGCTTGGCACAAACGTGGGTCACTCGTTGCACACGTGTGCTCAAAGGGTTGCACACGAGCTGCACACCCGTGTACAACGATTGCTCAACCTGTGTGCAATATTCCGTTGAGCAACCCGTGTCACATGCGTGTTACACGCGTTGTCAACGCAATATTCCTGAACATTTTGAAGACAGCGATTTTCCTTGTACAAAAATGTCAAAGTTAAAAAGGGAAAGTAACTTTATGATATCACAACGTGAGCTCACTTGACTATTAACACTATACATGTGTCCTAAACATCTGCTGTATATCACTTTGCATTGAAAGCTGAATCTTTTATAAATGTCAAGGTTTGTGAATAGAATCAAGTGTGTTGAAGGCACCAGGTAGGCAGGCATTCGACATGGGCTGTTGAAGGTGTTACATAGATAAATTATTCGATGGGTATGGGACGTATTTTGATTTTGGAGCCTACCATTGTATTTGACGTTCACATGCACGAATACACCTCGATTAACTGCATTTACTTTGATACACGTGTGTCCAGATTACAAGATTACCTTGTGTGATCTTACAGATCCTGGGACCTATCCATATCATTAATTCCCCAGAAATATCAGCATTCGTAGAAAGTATTTAAAAGCGCAAGTGCATTTGTGATAAAATATAAAGTGTTAAAATCTGAAAAAAAGAGTTTACGTGCCCTTTTAAAAGACTCTCATTGTTCAGAGTTTGTATTGTTTCATGTAGGTAATAGGTATCACAATAGTTATGATGTAATACATATTATTATGATTCACGATACACGAGATAATAAAGAAATACGTATAAAGCACACATAATATGATTTAATGCTTAGTCCATAAAACAGTTTGCTGAATCTGTCCGAACTGTAATTTCTTCAGAAAATTGCTTCGATTCTTATGACGTTGCTCTAATCTATTCATTCATAAACTGTTAACTGTGAGCAGTCATTCACCTGATGAAGGAGTAAGCATATACTCCGAAACGTTGTGTTCCCCGCAACTAATTTGTGTTTCACCTTTTAAAATTAGAATACAATAGTGCCTCGTCGGGCTTGATTCAGACTCTAATGTAATAGCAATAAATAGGTTGTCGTTGTGGAACTTTACTGTTCTCTTCAGAATGCGTTCACAGACAAATGATTTGGACGATATAACGCTCCAAATTGACACAGATGATATTTGATTCCCGGCAATTGTAAACGAAATAGCGCACTGCTTCCGATAAAAAGAACGTGAGAATGTGGACCATATTCATCAAGGTTCCCAATGAAGGTTTGTCCCAATGCGGCGAAAAAGTCGTCTTGAGTTTTTCTTGAATAATTCTTGGAAGAGTATATATAACTAGCAGACACATTCATCATGGATGCCATGACTGTATTGACTGCTACAGCAATAAAAAAAAATATCAAAGGCACATAACTACTGCACATGACATGTCATAATGATACATAGGGAAATGGCTGCAATTGGACAAACGTTCAATATATGTTCAATATTTCCGACATCCAATCCCATGACACAACAGTCAAACCAGCAAATCACTGTCGACCTACACTACAATTAACTGATATTATCGTACAATGGACTCTGTTTGTAATGTATTTTAAGTTTTGTCAATGCCGATTTAGCAGTGGATTGCTGGGTATTGTGGGCACAATGAATAATACGAATGGATCATAAGCAGAACACGAGATTGGCGAGACACAGAGTTTAGGAAACTCGGGTGTTTTTTTGCTCTACAATTTCTGTCATATAATATTTTTGTGAGAAGAAATATGTCTACACATCCATGATGGAGCAATAGTCATAACAGCTAACAGAAACGTAGCAATTCGTGTTGTGAATACGACGTTTAACTAATGATATTTATTTATTTATTTCAGTTGTGGTTTTGTGCTTAGACTTACAAGATCAAGAGCACTTCCTGACGACAGCAGCCCGGATGAAACGTAGCACCAAACATGCCTTTTTCACATTTACCTCCTCTTCTTTCAATATCCAGTTGGGTAGTTTTCTTGCCTACACAGTGAATGAGATAAGAAATGCAAGTTTTTATTATGAAGACATAAACATTTTAGAAAATGTTCTTGTAGTGTCAGCAGAACTACCTTCAAATTCTTCCACAACGCTAAAACATAATAAAACGGATTTTGCAGACCCAGCAGAAAATAGTTTCCAATCTGTAACTAGCGCCCTGCTTCTCCTTGGTCATATGATCAAACAATATCTTGATTCCAAAGACAAGATTTACACAGATCTTTTCCAAATTGCGTCTCGTGTGAAAAATGTGACCTTTGAGGCAAATGGACGTCAAGTGATTGTTGACCAGGATGGTCGAACACTTTACAACTATCTAATGTACGATCTAAATATTGATGATGGCAAATTTTCACCCAAACTCTCCATGATTGCCACTAGTGCATTGACGTGGTCTCTTAGGTACAATGATACCTTAAACTGGCCAGGTGGTATTATTTTGCCTGACCAGTGCTTTAAGAAGGATATATCTTGCCGACTTCAACAAACTGGTAAGTTGTTTCTTTATGATTATATCATAACTCTTATAACCCAAAACGGAGGGAGGGGGTTAAGTTTTTCTCCATTTGAAATTACCTCTTTCTAGCATGTGATTCACTACGTAATTTGTATGGCTCACCTTTGTATTCATTAAAAGAATCAAACAATCAGCCACTCGATCAGTTTGCCGTTGACCATGACAACAATTGTTCAGGAGGGAAATAAAACATATATGTATTCTTGAGCGAACAGTGACTTTGTACACATTTCTTATGCTCACACACAATTTGAATATAGCCTAGCCGATGTCGACAGTATGAAAACAAATAATCCAAGATGGCCTCTGTCCAGAGTTAAATACATCGTTGAAGTAGACGATGGTTTGTTTCATTGTACGATAGAAGTTCTTAACACAGAAGTTCCTGCTTCAATTAAATTGGCACGACTGAAGATAGCGGGCAAAAGGCCGTGAAAAACGGTATATTGCCATGTCAATTTTTTTCGTCACTGTCGCCAGAAAACAGGGAGACATTTTTTAACAGCCTTTGTGTTATTTCTCACAAGTCCTTAACTATTGCAACATTCAAATATTTAACAAATACTCTTAATACTGCCATGAACTTCAATGAAATAAAATAGGAGATACGCCTACATATGCAGCACGTGGAAATCTTTGACAGGCCATTACCACGGATCTATAATTATAAAACATCCGCGCAGAAGAATAACCTTCAGAATAAAACAACTGATTATAAATGTTACTTTTATATCAACATTTCCTCTTCCCTTTTCCTCTAAGTTCCTTTTCCTTTTATACTGACAGTATGTTTCGGAAATCTACCAAATGAAAATCTACCATGCATCAATCAATCAGTTATTCTGTTGAAATATAAATACCAGTCATCATAGGTTGAAATAAAAGATTTACCCATATTAATCTGATCCCTATGAAATGTGTCTGATCAATCAGTGCTTTGAGTCATTACCGATGTTAATTAATTAATCCATTTCTTACAAAGTTCTGATTCTCATGCTCCTAATATTGACAGTAGCGGGTGACCTCGTTCATTTCCCGATGAACGTCGGTATGTCACGTGATAACGTTGCCAATCGAGCGGAGAGATACAGAACTACTTTTGGGGGATTCCTCAATGTCTAAAAATAACATTAAAAATCATTTGGGAAAACTGAGAGCGACTTTGAAGCCACACAGATCATGTATAAGTCGGGTCAACGAAATGAAGCGTCCATTCGAAGCTATGATGAAGAATGCTGGAAAAAGAAAATCGGGAAATCAAAACGCGCCGCCTCAAGCAGTAATCCTAGAAGTTATCAGCAGCCGTAGTATGATTCAAACACACACCCAAAGTTCACAGAACGTTAATGTGATTCCATTTTCAGCTTCAGCCGGGTGTGGATTTCTTTCCAATGCTAACTTTATTTGGTGCAACTTTTATTTCAAGTGAATGACATTGCCGGATTGATTTTTTAAGATTTATATATCTGTCAATATAAGGATTGAAGTTATATTTGTTGACGTTCATCAGCTGATGAAGACAGTGCCTCACATGAGCAAATTTACCATCAGCTGATGAAAGTCAACAAATACAACTTTAATCCTTAAAAAAAGTAATACAAAGACCAACTCACACTGGCTATGTCTATGTTGTGTATAGTACATAAATGCATTTAAATGATAGTTGAAACTTCTTGTTTTGGTAACATGTCGACAAGTTCTTTACCTTACTAACCATGTACCATCCTGCTACAGCTACAGTACCTTAAGACATCTGTAGCATTGAGGCTATTTATCAGATAGTATTATGACATAGCAAATATGATTTTAAATGCAAACTTAACCCAATAATAATTGTAGATATGTCTAAATGCATTTAGGTATGTTATTTGTTCTAACATATAACAGATTTTGCTTGTGTATAACGAATGCTCCTAAGTCATGTGAACTCTAATACTAGTACATAGCACAAATATACAAAGATATCAAATACAAATATTACATTGTACAATGCAGATATCTATTAATGTAAAGAGAAAAAGAATGAAAGTATTAATTTGTTTGTGTGGGAATGTGAAACATCCGTTTAGAATATGGAAACATAAAACGCAAGGTTTAATTAAATACTCGTTGTGATTGAACGAATCATTCACACCAGCATATCTGATTTTTGTATCTCGAGAACACGATCATATTTTAAGCACCCTGTCTTCTACACCACAACAGTATCATCGAAGGAATATTTGTGTTGTGTGAGTTTTTCTTTGTTACAATCTATATTTCCGAATCGAGGTGGTAAATAATGAAGCCAAATCCCTCGTTTGATAGAGTGCTCTAATTTCACTCATGGTTCAACTGATGCCACGTTCTATGGAGGGGATGCCAGATCGAGAGATATCGCATTGGAGTAAAATATATAATTTCAATGAGATTCCAGTCACCGCGCGCTGAATCCAAATACCAAAGACATTCCACTACAACATCGGATATAATAAACTGAACAACAAAAGTTCCTGTGACATTGAATATGATTTAATGCAAAGTAATGTTTTCTACCAAATCTGAAACAATTTCGGTTTGCAACATATAAAAGACTCCTGTAAGTGTTCAAACGGTTTAATTTGCCATACTGACTTCAGAAAATGCGTGATTTCATAAAAAAAAAAATGAACATGCCAAAGTGTCAATTTACAAATCAATAGCGTGTGTATCCACCTCTGGTTGTGATGCAAGCAACACATCTTCGTTTCATGGAATGGACCAGGCGTCGCGCAAAGTCCTGTGAGATATCTGCCCATATCTGCTGGAGCATGTTTTTGAAGTTCCTGGACTGTCTCTGGTACACGTGGTTGACGTCGAAGGCGCCGATCCATCTCATCTCACATGTGCTCGATTGGTGAGAGATCAGGGGAGCGAGCCGGCCAGGGGATGACATTCACGTTGTTTTGTTAAAGGGAATCCTGAACAAGTCGATAATTGGAGGCCGGGCGTTGTCATGATGAAAGGTAATGCCCCGGCCATGACGACGCAAAAACGGTAGACCAACAGGGCCGATGATCTCGTCGCGGTAGCGCTGTCCATTTCCCTCTACCACTATCAAACTGCACATCTGAGGCGACGACGTACGGTTTGTGAAGATATTCGTCGAAGGCCAGGGATGCTTCTTGCAGTCACTTTTGCTGGCCGGAATCGATTTCGTAGGTGTGTTTTTTAAATCCAGTTGTCTTGTCGATTATTGGTTACGCGTGGCCTGCCACTCCAAGGATGGTCTCTCACTGCATTCGTCTGTATCCAACGTTGCCATAAACACCAAATGGTGTTTCTGTGGACGTTAAATTGTCTTGCAACATCAAGTTGACTCGATCCTGCTTCAAGCATACCAATGGCTCGCAGACGCTCATTTTCGGACAGGCGTGGCATTTCGTAATGTTGAAAAATTACGTAATTATGTTGTTTTTCTGAGTGGTTGTTGTCAGCACGATGCTAAACAATGCATTTGGAATCCCGTTAACGCACATATTTTTATACCCATTCTTGGGTAGTGAAATGCGTGGGGCTTGCATAAAAGTCAACTTTTGCATGAAATGCATGCTTTTCTGTAGCAGTTGCGTTTTAGTGACTTGATTCCATACAGGTACTTTAATATTGAAAACCACTCTATACTTGTTTGAAAAATACACTAAAATATTGATGTCACAGGAACATTTGTTGTTGAATATAGTATAACTTATGTAGTGTTTCTGGGACTCTTTCAGTGTGTTATTAACAAGACAATTTCAAATGATAGAATAGGTAATACATTATTACATGTTTTACAAAACAACAAAACTCACTGGATAATATTCCTGTCCTGTCACTGATTAGCTGTAAATCTGTTCGAATAAGAGACGTCCGGTCACTTTCACGCTATGTATGAAATAATGTTCAGAACGTTTCTTTAGGCGAAAGCTAATCTTAAACATAAACACTCACAATATATTTAGTGTTGTCACATAATCTAGTAAATTTCAGTTGCAGATGAGATTGTTGATTTGTTACAGATCAAGTGTTTGGTAATTGTAACATCAAACAGAAGGATACACACATCTGTATAGTATATCGTTTAATAATGACCAAGTAATTATATATAAGTAACTATTTGCCATTCGGTCTCATCAAAACTTATGAGGGGCGTTCAGTAAGTTTTGCAACTTCAATATAAGACCAAGTCGCAGAATATATTTTGCACTTTTATTTTTCAATATAATCTCCATTCGCCTCAATACACTCATTCCATTTGTCCTTCAAGCTTTTAATACCACTTTTATAGAAATCCGCAGATTGGCCCCCTAACCACGCCTCTGTGGCAGCCTTTATGTCCTTGTCATCATGGAAGCGTCTTCCACCTAGGGCAGATTTCATTTGCCGGAACAGGAAATAGTCACTGGGGGCTAAGTCTGGGCTGTAGGGGTGGGTGATTTAACTGTGAGTCGGAGGATATATCTGTGTAATCGTGCAAACTCGAATATGGTGACGAAATATACTCAGACACATATCTAGTTAATGACAAAAAACAAGTTTCAATAACAAAACTAAGGAAGTATTTTCACAATCTGAGAATGTGAAGAACATAACAAATGCCATTAGCTGTACATAAGGTGACAAAGACCACAAACGTGTATGACCACCTCGTAAAATATTTTAGTATGACGCGTCAGAAGATCGAACCACGGACATGCGTGCGTAAGTAAGTGCCTACATGCTAAGGTACCTGCATGCGATAGGGCGTGCTAATTAAAGGGCCTGCGTGCGTAAATGAATGTGTGCACAAGTGCCTGATATTGTGTTATTTCGCGTCCGGGGATCAAACCACCGAACTTCCCCTCTCTGATTAGAGGCTTTGTCCACTAGACTATGCAGGTAGACTATTTGTTGGTTGGTTGGTTTGTTCTTTAACGCCGCACTCAGCAATATTCCAGCTATATGACGGCGGTCTGTAAATAATCGAGTCTGGACGAGCAATCCAGTGATTAATATCATGAGCATCGATCCACACAATTGGGATCGATCACATGCATCAACCGAGCCTGACCTCTTACGACAAGCATAGTCACCTTTTACGACACAGACTATTTGTTATGTCAAATGATAGACTTGTGTGGATCGACACTCATGATGTCAATCACTGTATGTCAAACTAAATAATCCAATACCTAGAAGAATTACTTGGAGCCCTTACTGCCCTAATCTACGGTGGCCCATAAGGGACATGGAGTCTGTTTTTTCAATATTTTGATATTTCACTTACTGTTATCGTAACCTTTTGCAAGTTAACACGATTTGTCATACAGATATGTAATAAAACATGTATAAAGAAGATATTGAATCGCTGAAAGGTGAAGCGAAAATGTCAAAAACTAAAATGAAAATGTCAAACACACAAACGCAAAGGTCAAAACTAAAATGAAAATACAGAAAACTATTTCCACCGCCGTGATCATATTCCTACCGCGTTTTCTGTAATTTCATTTTATTGTTTGACATTTTCGCTTTTGTTTTTGACATTATCGTTTTTGTTTTTGACATTTTCATTTTAGTTTTTGACATTTTCATTTTAGTTTTTGACATTTTCGCTTCACCTTTCAGCGATTCAATATCTTCTTTATTAGTAGTAGCAGTAGTTTGTCTGTTGCACTAGCCAGATTGTCAGAGGGCTGTATTCATGGCAGCAAATCCGGTACTCTCTCAATGTCAGTCAACAGATTGGGAGGTACCAAACCTAAGGCACCGAGAACAATAGAGAGTCGGACAACTTGGTACTTGTGATGCAAGCGTGACATTTCAAAAGCGAGGTCTGCATATTTGTCATGTTTTTCCTGAATCTTGTCAATCACATCAGTGTCAAACAGTACAGACAATTCAATGGTATAAATGATTTCATTCGATTTCTCAAAAAGGGGATAAGATCAGGTTTGTTGGCCTGGATAGGTCTGAGGGTGTATACCGGCCTATTCCAAAGAATTTTCTGGTTCGTTCCATCAATGGACGTCTGTGTCAAAACCACAAGCATGGCGAAGACGGTAATAAAAGGATCAAGCCACTTCTACATGTCTTACGATACAGTGTTTGTACCAAAGCTAGGCATCCACTGACACAGGTCGGACAGCCTCATCAAATTCATTGCATAATTGCATACACAGTTTGATGCAACATCACTCTTTGACGGTTTCGAGTGGGAAGTGACTGGTCCTGATCAGCAAACAGAAAGCCTTCTGTTTCACTTTTCAGGCCAGCCGACTTCATCCAAGCGAAGGACGTTGCAGGGTTGCTGAACGCCTCAACTCACTGCACATAACGCAATGCAGTGGTCGTTCAGATTTGATATGACACTTCGCTTGGTTGACACTCATTTCTGTACCGCCCAGCAATACAGAACCATAAACAAAATCAACGTTGACATTGAGATTATGTCCCATATCCTTGGTTCGTTTACGAAAACTGTGGAATGCCTTGTTTCCATCATGAGTCTTGACATGCTTTACAAGAGGATGATAAGATAAATAGATGTGTGCAAAAGTGGACAGAACAATTCTATAATGAAGAGCCCCAACGTTAATCAAATCACGCGCTCTCCCATTATGATTGGTATATTATTATCATTATGATAATTATCACTACTTCTGCTACTACTTTTATCAAATTTGATTTTGCGACTTTAACATTTCACATGATCTGTAATATTGACAGATCTAAGACAAATGCGAGCTGGATGTATCCTTGAAGTCTTGTTACTTTGTTAATGTTACGATGCAGTTAAGCGGCTATAGACTTTCTGTGACTACTTCACACATTTTCTGCAGGTAGGACCTATTTTGCAAAAAACTATCTTTCTCTTGCCACATAAAAGACATCCCACTTTCGATGGTTGACGTATCTCTTGATTATGAAGATGTCGCATAGCTCCATTATTTCAGTCATAATTACAAGAGTTTTTAACATTCAGAACAACATATCTACAACTTCATCCAAATATTAGTGTACCAGTGTATATAGTAACATTTCAGGATCAATTATGTATGATCAACTGTGCCTTACCCGTCGAACATTATTTTTCAGGTCCAGAGACCCTGTATGTTATCGTCATTTTTTCCGCTGGTCTAGGAGTAATCATCCTTGTCATTATCATTGTTATGGTATTCAGGTAAGTGACATTTAGAACACTTTGTGTAAAATGAGTAAAATATATCACAGAGAATAAGTACGAAAAATGTAAAAATACATGCACTTTGATGATACCACTGCATTCTGTTCTAGGCGCTACTGGGCCAGGAAGGAGTTAACGAAAGGTCCTCACAAGCTCCTTCTGAACTCAACTGATCTGACATTCCTTTTGAAGAAAGACAAAGGCAAAGGATCCCGAGTAAATATACCTTACTAGCTATACCCCGTGCTGTATACTCATATGTATAACGTCACTCAAATATAATTCTTTGTTAGCATGTTCCGGGTTCAAGGAGGTCCCCGGCCACCTATGCCTGTTGTTTGAAGTGACGGATCAGGTGGCCAGGTTCGAAGACGTTGGAGGCTTGGAGATGTTGGTCATCACAGCACTGATATGTCTGGTCCAGACTCGATTCTTCACAGGCCGACGTCATATACAAGGCATATTGCTCAGTGTGGCGTTAAACATCAAACAAATATATGTTGAAATAACATGATGACAATGTGTAAACTAAGAGTGTAAAAAGACTGCATTAGAAAATGCTCAAATTATTCAGTAGTTTAAGCTAAAACTCGCACAATTATGTACTTATAGATCGTAAGTAACCTTTTATGCAAATTCTGTTAGGCGAGAAATAACGATACTGGTAGACATGAGCCTGGCAAATCACAAACATCAGTTGCAAGGCAATTCAAGCATGTCCGGAGCAAACTTTCCCAACTTAGGGCACGATATCGGTACAACCAGTCATCTTCCTTGATCTTGGAGACACAGAATCACTACACCCGGGCTCTAAACACGACACTCTCTGCAACGTACACTCCAGCACAACTTGCTGGTTACCTATCTGTCCGTAACGGTTTACGAGCTGCCAGAATTCGAGCAAGCAGGCTCTGCGTCCGGTATATTTTATCTTAAAGTAATCGATTTCAGCCTTGCTTGAGATAGTGACGTAAGCGACCCATTCACTCACTTTTCCTTTAACATTTGATGAACTATGTTTCACTTTGTAATTGTACATGTCCCAAGTATCGCTTTAAAAGCCTTGTATAGTGAGTTACTGAGTGAGTTAAAATTTAACGTCGCATCAGCATTATTTCAGCCATATAGTGACGAGACCAAGTTGATTTATCCAAAATTTATTCAAGAATACAAAGTTTTATTTAAAAAACATTTATCACAAATATTTGGGCAAAACAATATCGTTTATACATTTTTAAAACACGGGCTATATGCCACCTCGCTGGGGATCATAGGGACTTAAAGGCCTTGTCTCTTGAAAACCACGTTACCTTAAGGGGGAGTATTTACAGAGACTTTACAGATATACAATGATAACAGAGTTCATGAGAAATATATCATCTTTTTACTTATCTACCGCTTGGTTGAACGTTGCCACCGTGTCAGTACCCATGTCATCTAAAATATGAGATATGTCAAAATATATTTATGGTGTTTATCTTTTCAATCAACATACTAACTGTTAAAAGGCTTCGTAGCAACTAACGGGATAGGGTGGTTAGGCTCGCTGACTTGGTTAATGCATGTCATCGTATCCAAATTGCGTAGATCGATGTTCATGATGTCAATCACTGGATAAATTGGTCCAGGCTAAATTATTTACAGACCGCCGTCATATAGCTTGAATATTGCTGAGTGCGTACTTGAACAACAAACAAACAAACGTAGCACCATCAACACACACAAGGTGTGAATACAAATTGTATTTCAAAGGGAAACACATAAAACACTCTTTCCTTAATTAACAAGCATTATGTTTGTCTGGATTACTTGGCAGCACATGCCCGTTCTTAGGGCTTCGCCGAAGTGGTAAACATCAAAGACCTGCATCCCCACTCTGGCTTATCCCCCACACCAAGCTGACACACCGTGATGTCACAGACATACTTTTCAAAACGGCGTTTAAAACGGTTGTTTAAACCAAACTGACTCAGTCAGACGAAAATAGTTTTCTTACAATTTTCTTCCACGCTTCATTTAGTAGAAAAGAAATCCATTTCTTTGGCAAATACCATGTGGCACCAAGCTCATAATCGTTTGTTTGTAATCGAACCTGTCCCTACATTCCATGCCATGTGTTGTTGATCTTATTGGCAAACATTAGCTGATGTATGTTTAGTGTCTGATCTCATACGAAACAAAAGCTATCGCCTATGAATCATGACCTTAATTGCCTAGAGTCTTAATGGAAATATGTCAGGATGAGGTGATGTGAAAATAAATCTGGAGTGTTTCTACGTTTCTATTTGATACAAAATACATGAAGCAAGTGTTGTAGAACATACTCGTAGAAAGTATAATAATCATTAAATACACCCATAACATTCATTTTATGACATCGGTTATAGCGGTGATACATGTCCACAACTTCAGTAATTCAAACCAAACCGCTCTGTGACTTGCGTAATGTCACGCGGGAAGACAGGTCACAGCAGCATATTTTTGTCGGTGTAACTGTATAACTCTCGATGAAAAAATGATAAAATCTCCGGTGTCGTTTGACAGAGCTCACACCACCGGAAGCATTGATAATTAATATCTATTGGACTGCAAACTATTTATCTTTGAGCCAACTTAAAATTCGATGCTATTAATCTGTATCCTTAAATAGCAGTTTCATAACACTTAAGTGAAGCATTCTCCTTTTTATCCGTTTAAGCATTATCTCCAACATGAAAGTAATACATGTAAATATCCGTGCACCGGAATGACATCGTGCTGTTTCCGGTCTGCATACATGTTGTTGATGTAATACTCTGATGTTATTTATAAACGCTTTATTTAAATGATTTATGCTATCTTTAACACTCGTAGTTTGAATATGTTTATGGAAATATTTTGGAGCTGCTGTCCACAACTTCTTCTGCTGACCCGTACAACGATGTCCTGGGAAAATTGTGCTCGTATGGCCATGCATCTGACATATGTCCTTCACCGTAGGGCCGACAAAATATATGCCAGCTTCTCCCTTTGAATCCAAGTTCGAAAATGTCTAGAAGTAACCAAAAGTATCATTTGCAGTCGTACGCAAGAAAGTGCGTTGGATTCGTTGTGAACACATGTTTGTTATCAGTTAAAAGTTGCAATCTCAGCGCCATGTCCTGCTCTAATATCCTTGGCACATAAATAGTTATCATTTCAGCTTAACAGAATATGTGAACTTAACTGAGGTCAAAGTTATACCAGATTGTTGGCAAGGTTGTTAGGTTTTCTTTGTATAGAGTTATAATGGTATAATTGCAGCATTTTGGGAATGAATCATGCATGAAGTATGATTTCGATTTGAGTCAATGAGTGATTTCTTCAAATATGTCCTATTCTGAGAGGCTTGTCAGAATAGCGAAACTTTAACAAGTTACACTATATATCTCGTCCATTGATCAAATGACATGTTACATCCATAAACAAATGCTATACTGCATTCAAACTGATGTTTAAGAACATAAATCAAACTTGAATCATCAAGTAAAGTTTTCTATGAGAATATTGATCAATATCCCTCTGTTATACATGCTTTATGACTTCATAATTCAAAATTTGTTGTCAAGACAGCGATTAATGACGGGTTTCTTTCAATATTGTTGGTACTTGTGACGTGCATTAATGAACAAGAATCAACACCAGGCATTATATCATTACACATTGACAGATATGTCAAGAATTTGTAATAATGAACCTTCACTGCCAATTGTCTACCAAGGAAATTCATGTATAAGTCAATTGATGATCTTCCAAATAATGCTGGAAATCCTTTATTTTACAGATGATGAAGAGCACCATGTTTGACAAACCTGATTTAGTAAAAGCATCTGAGCCCAATAGGTCAACAGTCAGTATTAACGAACTGAGTGATTACACAGAGACTGCTAGATACAACGTAAGTGCGTTATATGTAGCCAGTATAGTCCATATAGCATGTCTGTTATGTTTTCACAGCACATTGATGATTATTCGCATAACAATGCAATTTTTATCATAAATTAGCTTTTCATGTTTCAACAACAGGTAAAATAATTTCATATAAGATATGCTGTTATCCACAGGGGGATCTGGTGCATGTAAAGGACTTGCGTATAAAAGGTTTTGAAGTCAAGAACAAGATTATGACCCACGTCAGAAGTGTAAGTAGATGATTTTGAAGAAAATATCATGGTATCATTACAAACAACACCTAGGCTGCGTTCCTTGGGCACGCCAGAAACCTATGTTTGTTGGTTCGAATTCCGGTTCGCCCCGATAATGTTTCTAGGTTTGTCAGTACCATGCCAAAGTAGTAAACGTCTATTAAAAGTGGCACTAGACCAAATTTACTCTCACAAGAAAGACATTAACACAAAATATGTGAGGCATGTTGTAAAATTAAGTAGTCTCTTTGTCACAAAGATCAAAACGCTGCAAAGACGAAATCCATGAGCCAAACGTAGGAAAAACATCACATGAGAACCACGGGATGGTTGTCTGTTAGCAACTGTTCAACTGTGAAATCATCCCACGGCTAACACAATGAAACAGGCGTCAGCGCACGATTGGAAGCAGGACAATCGCTGTCGCCTGTAGTCAGGGTATTTAGTGTGTCACACCAAAGTACCGACATTAGACCTTGGTATCGGTACCAAAAGCATGGCCTGTCACGTAACCGACCCAGTCCAGGCTGACCTCGTGTTGCATGGCTGCTCACGGCCGCTTCATGCGGATATATTATTCGCGGAATAGGTGACAAGAACATTATCATCTCCAACAGCACAAAGTCCATGATTGCGAAGGATATACCAGACAGTGTGTACGATTTTGTGAGGACTCAGAGACAAACGACCTGTCAGAGGTATTGTTGTGATGCATCGTCAACTACGACGTCAACGATGTCAAGCACTCAGAGCGTGGTCTAATCAGCGATGAAAGGCCCGTAAATTCAACGACGAGTCAAGACAGATGCTACATCGAACTGATGGAAGAGCAAATATCTACTAATGTCAGCTGCTTACGGTAGATCTAGATATATGACGGTGACAGCATAATGATGTGAGAAAAAACTCCCACAAAGGTAGAATAACCCAGGTTGTGAGTGCAAGGTAATGAAATCCTACAGCCACGCGTTGTTCTGTAACCATGTTGACGTCATTTTTCATCACGCCAATGGTGGACGTATACAGCACGTGTCACAGAAGCATTAACACGAAACCACAATGAACAGGTCCCCATGTGGCCCTCTAATTCGCCAGTTTTAAACCCCTATGGGATTCCCGAGGACAGCGTCATTTTGAACCATAGACACTAAAATCACATGGCGAGCAGCCTTACATTCCACAACGCGTAATTCGTACTCTTATTTGGCCAATGAGAAGGAGGAATCAGACAGTTTTCGTAGTTTGCAATATGTCATCACTCATTAAATCTTCAGATGTCTTTAGTGTTACTCCAAACACACAAAAAAGAAATCTGATCTAAACAAATATTCACTCCACGCAGGCCTTCTCTCCGTAATTAAGAGCAAACTGCCTTTTTCTAAACCCTTATGTTTCCATTAAAGTCTGCTAATGTATCTCTCCAAGGTTGATGCACGTGATCCTACTTATGTAAAAACTTCATGGGTAATTATGCTCTGTTTACTTAGTTTGTTTAAATGTATTTTATTTTCTGAATCCCCACTGATTGAAACAGCTGGTTTGACGGCCGCATCACCATCACAATGTTAAGCTAACATTCATAGGATAGTATTTTCTTTAGTCATTGTCGGAAGGCATATTTAAATAATTATATCTACAATTACAGGTTACAAAATGCAAAATTGTAGTTACTACAATTTTCAAAGGATGTGTGGCAATACATTTCGTGCAGAAAACATGAAAGAAATCTTCAAAGAGAATGTATTTGGGGACAACAGAGACCTTGGAATTTTGCTCTTTTCTATATACGACTGTTACGTCGGTACATAGCGGCCTGTCTACAAGTATCATGACACAATATACTCATTTTAACTTAGTTCAAGTAATTTATCGCGTTATTTAAATATCTAGCCGAAAACAATCCGGCTCTTGTGCGACCAAAATTTCAAAACTCATGTGTTTTTTGTTTCGCAAATACCTAAAGGTATTTCTACAAGTATCGTAACACATATTTCAACTCATTTTAACTAACTTCAACTTATTTCTAGCGTCGTTAAAATATTTCGCCAATTGGAGAAAACAGTTTGGCCTATGCCATCAAAGCGTCCATTAGAGCAGGATACGCGTATATATATCCTTTTGTGACATCTCTGATTTTCAGTGATCCATTCATATAATATTTAACCCTATTTTGTCTTTCACACCCAATAGAATCTGTTTCTTCTGATAGTCGAGGCTGTTTACACTCTTGCGTTAACGTTTTATATTTGCTCAAAACTACTTATTAGTTTGGCAAAATCACAAATGTGTAACTAAACGTATGGCACATCATTTAACTAATTTGTAGCATAATTCAGCCTATATTTTAGCAGTATTACAAGACAAGGGCGCACATACAAGTTTTGTTTGTTTCTTTGTTGTTTAACGCCGCACTCGGCAATATTCCAGCTATATGACGGCGGCCTGTGTAAATAATCGAATCTGGACAAGACAATCCAGTGATTGATATCATGAGCATCAATCCACGCAATTGGGATCGATGACATGCATAAACCAAGTCAGCGAGCCTGACCACCTCATCCCGTTAGTCGCCTCTTACGACAAGCATAGTCGCCTTTTACAGCAAGCATGGGTTGCTGAAAACCTATTCTATCCCGGATCTTCACAGGTTATGTGCAAAGATGTAACTGTAATTTTGATCAGACGTCATTCAATGTTTCAAAGTAGAATATAATTACAAGACCATCTTTCCTGTGATCCCATTGGTAATTAAGCAGGCGTACATGACAACACATTTCGTTGTATATATACTTTACTAATCGGGTGGGGTGGAGGAGTGTTAGCCTATTAGGGCTAGTTTCGTCAGGGTTTAACCTATAAATGATGATGCCAATTTACAGCTTATCATCCCTTCCTGTCTGGCTTTATCCATATATGTTTACAATTTCATCAGGATTAAGGGGGAATGTAGGTATAATTTTGTGAAATGATCACGGTGTGGTTCTTAAACTTCTTCACATATTTTAGTATAACTCTTTTCAATCTGAAGTATTTCAGTGTAACTAACACCGGGCGTGCTCAGGGTGATTTTGTAGCAAGACGTCGCACACTTACAAAATCAACCGTTTGTATTATTCCTATAGATTTTGTGAGGACATCTAGTTCCTTATTTTCAATATCTTCCGTTGATTCACCAGTCTTTAGTCACATAATAGAATATCAGTTTGGTCATTCTAGAATATCGCTGTAGTTTCTCCACTTTTTGTGAATGATCGTCAACAGTCTTTCGCAAGTACACATTTTCGTCGGTTAGCTCAGCAATATATTTTTTCCATTGCGCAAATCTCACTGAAAGTGTATGAAATCAATCGTTCATTTCCTGCCGCACATCTCAAAGTTCCTTGAGTACTGACAGTCAAGAGGAGAGATGTAAATAAACAAACATTGATACTAGTCCGTACGCACCCCGGCACGTGCATCACATGAAGGAGTACGGCTGCTTTTCGAAGAGTTCTTCTTGGCATGAGAGCCACAAAGACATGGATAGCAATATCAAATCAACTCGTTGTGTACACCATTAAAAACTTTCACAATTTGAAGTTTTCTCCAGAGATGCTTCTCAGTGAGACTGGTCTCGCTGTCCCTAGGTGGCATCCCGCTTGTTACAAATGTTACAAATATAGATGTCAACGAAGCAGTAGAATTGTTTGTCAGCTGTGAACTTAATACCGCAGAATGTATGAAAAAAGAAAACTGACCTTGATCCCAGAAAGTTTGATTATTATTGACCCGACTGTCAAAAAGGAATGAAGAAGGCCAAGAGTACTTTTATACACTTACACACACATTTATAAGAGATTATTCCAGTTATATCGCGGCGTGCCAGCTTAATGTGGGAGGAAATCCCTAAGTGATGCTGGTCTCGGAAGTTTACCACTTTGGTGAAACCCACGAACACGAGTATTGTGATGACAAACCTTGAATCAGTCGGGGCGAACCAGGATTCGGACCCACGATCACAGGTTTCTGGAGCGCGAAAGGGTCGCAACAGCGTATTGCAGTGCCTTAGTCGACTGGGAAAAGTTGAAAAAGAAATGCAAAAGTAGCTGCAGATATTGGAAACGTGAGCGCCAACGGAACATAGGGCAGAGGTTATGCATCAAGAACAAATTGAACGGCTTTTTTAAAAGAGTTGAGATGTATTTCACATACCCGGAAACTTTCTAATAGTTTTCAAAGCGACGGCTGGTTTCATCATTTCAGCAACAGCTAAAGATATACTACTTTGAAAATACAAAGTAGCATTATGAAGGTAGTCTACCGTGACACGAACTGTGTGCGGTGGAGCGTTGTCCTGTTGAAACAGCTCCCTCTAGGAGCCAATGATTGGAAGAAGGTGAGGTTGAAGAATTTGACTCATGTAGCGATTTGCGGTCAAATGTTCCTGAACCACAACCAAGTCAGATCTCCTGGTGTAGGATATAGCCCCCAACACCATGACACTACCGCCACCGAAAGTGTCTAATTCACGTACACGATGAAGGGCAAAACTCCCATTTCGACGACGATAGACGCGTTGTCTTCCATCTCGCCGGTGAAGAAGAAATTGTGATTCATCGCTAAACCACACACGTCTCCAGTTTCTCAAATTCCAAGGCTGTAAGGTATGGAACCAACGCAAGCGTCGCTGTCGATGGATCTGCTGCAAAACAGGGACGATAACTGGTCTTCTGGGTCGGACTCCAGCCTCGCGAAGATGGTTTCTGACAGTCTGGTCCGATATCCTCTTTAAAGCAGGGATGCGTCCTTCCGTCTCCGTAGCTGTGGCATTGCGATGACGTAGGTGGAACAGTCGAATAGAGCGATCCTGTGCAGGGGTGGTAACTCTTGGTCAGCAGGTCTGCAGTGGAATTGAACTGTGTGTATCGGTCCCAAAGACGGCAAATGGTCTGTTGTGGACGTTGAAGTGGCATACAACAGAAGACTGCGATTCCTCTCTTTGGATACGTCATATGGCG